ATAGGACAACTAGTGCCAGATGTGAACTCTTGCTGCTACGATATCATTCACAACAAAGTAGGAATGGTTTGGGATGCCTTCTTTATACCTCACCCACTCAGCAGAAACACCTACTGAACAAGGTGCAAAGCTAAGGCAGGGTTAAAATTCACAGCTACCTATGAAGTATGTTATCTTTTTTGCCATTCATAAGGGAAGATTTATACATACTGGACCCAGGTCTGTCGACTTCACGGACAATGTGAGTCATCCCAGCTTTGTACCCCAAGAAGGCAGTGAGATGGACAGGCTTGCTGGGATCATCTTTGGGAAAGCTCTTCACCTTGCCCCTGTGCCTGCTGCTGCGCTTACGGGGCAGGAAGCCCAGGGACCCATGCCTGGGGGCTGAGAATTTGCGGTGAGACTAAAAAGAGAAAATAAATATATTACACTTACTTCAGAGATTCACTAATATCCAATACACAAACACTAATAATGAAAAGGCTTTAAAAAATGCACCAGTACAGAAGATGCATTAAGAAGCACAGCAGTCTCCAAAAGGGCTTTCTGCTGGGATTATGAACCTCGTGGCAAGGCCCAGAATATAGTTTTGACACTTAAGACTAAAGGCTGCCAGCACAATACCACTGCATGGGAGTGGCACACTCCACCATGCAATTCGATCCCACAGCTGAAAGAAGCATCGTTATGCAGTTACGTGGGCACTCAGCTCCTCTCTACAGCCACGCCATTCAAGCAGGAGCCAACAGAGGGGGAAAAGCCCCGCTCTAAGCACTGACATCGGCACTCGTGACCTTGGAGCACAGCACGGCCTGCCTATCGCGGCAAGCAGCCCGTACTGCCGGCAGCTCCTCACAAAAGCAGCCCAGCCCCTCCTAAAAGAGGCACGCAAACCTCACCAGTGACCGCGAGCCCACAGCTGCCCACCATCTCGCCAGAGATCCCACACCCGCGGGCACCAGGCCCGCCAGCGACCCCACGCTAAGGCCTCGCCCGCCCACGGTGACAGAGCCCCAAAATGAGCTCCGCAACACCTCCCGCAGGGGCGGGGGGGCAGCTGAATGATGGCCTGGCAGCCACTGGGGCACGGATGGCAGTGATACCAGAGGGATGGCAACGCCAGGCCCAGCCAGCGCCACGACAAGCACCCACCATTTTGTCCCCGCGCCGGGCCGGAAGGAGCGAGGCACTCTGCGCACGCTTTATTTATAGTCGCCCCGCCCCAGCTGACGCAGCATACCGCATATGAGATCTCGCGAGAGCAAGGGGCGCGCGGCGCTACGGGAGGGGAGCGGGGTCAGAATGGTGGCGAAGGCGCAGCAGGCTCGCACTGGGATAGCGAGCGCCATCTTGTCCTGGAGAGGGCATTGACAGCTCCTGGGTGCTCACCTCGTCTTCTCCATTCCCTGCTCCTTCGCACTTATGTCTGTGTCGCTCTTTCCACGTCAACCTGCTTTTTCCAGGCGGCAGTAAGGCTTGGCAGGGTGAAGGAAAAACAAGGAGAAGGTGTCCTTGCCAAATAAATATTGGGAATATCCTCCCAAATAAAATTTGGGAAGAAAAAAGGAAAGATAGGAGGTCCCTGCAAAACAAATTAAAGAAAAAGCTTAGAAGAAGAATTTCAGTCACAAGGATCTGGTTAAGCAAACTTACACACAGAAGATGCCCCCTGTGGATTCTTTTTATTCAAACGAAGAGAGCTGAAGATTCTATTCTGTCTTTTTTTTTTGATAAAGATGATTGAACAAGCTGATCAGAGCAGAACTTTTCCTAACAGGAGTGTAGCAGCCTCTCACACGCAGATGTGGCCTTTGTATGCATCCACAGAATCATGGAGGTTGGAAAACACCTTTAAGATCACCTGGTCCAACTGCCAGCCCATCCCCACCATGCCCACTGACCACGTCCCTCAGTGCCACATCCACACGGTTCTGGAACACCTCCAGGGACAGTGACCCCACCATGAATGCACAACTCACCTCTCCCATAGCAGTGCTGTGGAAAAAGGATGGCACTGGCGTGGCCTTCTGCTCCTTTGCTTGCACTTTGGGTAGTATCAGGAGCAGGAAGCAGCCAGGCTGCTGGGAGGTTTTCAGCCTGTGGAGCTGCAAGTTGCACCAGGGGAGGTTCACGTTGGATATTAGGAAAGATTTCTTCTCTGAAAGAGCAGTGCTGCAGTGGCACAGGCTGCCCGGGGAGGTGGTGCAGTCACCGTCCCTGGAGGTGTTGCAGAACTGTGTGGATGTGGCACTGAGGGATGTGGTCAGTGGGCATGGTGGGGATGGGCTGGTGGTTGGACTGGGTGATCTTAGAGGTCTTTTCCAACCTCAAGGATTTTATGAAATGCGGGAGAATATGAGGCAGGGAGAGCAGGAGCTTTGCTGGCATTGGTGGTTTGAAACTTGCCCACCAGCTTCCATGAGAATGGAAAGCCCAAGGCAGAGGCGGGCTGTGCTGCTGGAAGCTTTATGCAAAGCTACCCACGGTTGTCACAGCATAACAAAGTTTGCTGAGCCAGCTTGGAAATATGAATTGGCTGAATTTTATGAATTAGTTTTGGGTGTGTTTGGTTTTCTTCCACAGCACTGAATATACAGGGCAGCCAATGAAGAGTGCCTTAGATAAGAGAAAAAGCATTGAAGCAAATAAGTCTTTCCTGGAATGAAGCTTCTGTAACAGAACCATGAAAAAAAAAAAAAGTATTAAATACCTTGCTGTATTTATTGAAAACGTGTGTATACACATACAGGTAATAACAGACAATGTTATATTTTCATTAAAAAAAAAGAGAAGTATATAGTAAAACACCTGCAACTTCTTAAATGAATCTCCTAATGATCTGTAACTCAAACGACACTTGACAAATCTTCATCGCACTTTAAAAAAAAAGATGTTAGGCAATGTGAAGAAACATCGGAACAACAAAGAAATGGAAACACGATATTTAAAAATTCATAAGATAAAATAGGTTTTCCTGCTAACATTGGCACCCGTTTTGCTTATTTGCATATCTTAAAACATCAAGGGAGATCAAATAAACTCCTTCTCGCAGGGACACGTTCCCAAGCAGATTGTGTGTTCTCCAGGTACTGTGTCCCACTGTGTATTTCCATGGCGCTCGGTACAACACAGCTCCAAATTCAATTAGGGCCTCTCTGTGCTACTGCTGAATTAATAATAGACAATAACAACAGTGTAAGTGCTAAAGTTATGCCTCAGAAGAGGAACTAAAAATAAAGCTTACTGTGGGACCTGTCTGGAGATCTTATCATTCATACTGTTCACACATTATTTCTCTTGCTCCATGTACTGCTGACGCTGGCTCTGCTGTTGCACAGAAACATCAGCACAGGGGTGAAACAGAGATGAAACCTAAACAGGAAGGGAGATGGAGGATGGGAGATGAATTATTCACTCTCCCTCTGTGGGCACCAGGAAATTGGATAGGACCAGGCTGCAGAAACTCAGACTTCCCTAGATCTGAAACGGTGTGAATGCCATTGCAGGATAACTGATTTGACACATGACTCTGGTTGAAATGTGACCTAAAGTGGCTCTGATCCTTGGTGTGGGTTTGTAGGGTTTTCATCTTTAATCCCAACTGCTACCTGGACAGTAAAAGCACAGTGAACCAGTCACCACTTGCAGTAACAATGGTCAGTGTGTGGCTATCATGTTTTTTACATGGTTGAGACACAAGACACCTACTCTGTGGATGGAAAGCAAAGGGAGCAGGGAGCTGGTGACAAAAACAGCTTGATAGAGGTCCCAAAGCTTGTAATCCTCAGGGTGGGTAGCTGGGACATCAGGGGTGTCCTTCAGGGAGATCACTGGGGCAGCATCCCCAGGCTGGTGGTGTCCCCTGGGCCAGCCACCTCCTTCCTGCACACACCTCTTGCCAAAGCCACCTGTATTCCCACTGCTGGGATGCTGATGGCAGCAGAAGGGCTGCACACTATGGTTATACCGAGTTACTGCAAACATTAATTAAAGAGTTCAAGCAAACACCAACCTATACAGCCAGATCCTGCTCTGAGAGCTAAAGACAAAGCGCAAATGGGTCACATTGCAGGGCTGGCTCATAGGTTCTGCCAAAAACACAAACCCATGCTTGGAGCAAGCTGAGCACGTTCCCCACGGAGCTGGCTGTGTTCAGGCATGACCCAGAGGTGACAAGGCCCAGAAGTGGTCTGACCTGTCATGCTGCTTCATCAGCCTTTGAGCTCAGTTTCTCAGAAGAGCTGGAGGTGTGGTTGGCCCAGTGGAGACATGGTGCAGAGTGTCTTCGAACAATGAAGGGCCATCCCGTATCTGCCACCATTTTGTAGGGATGCTTCAGTATCTAGGGGGGCTATAAGAGGGGGACAGAACCTTTAGCAGGGTCTGTTGGGACAGGACAAGGGGAAATGGTTTCAAATTAAAAGAGCAGAGATTTAGACTGGATAAAAGGAAAAAGATGTTTATGTTAAGGATGGTGAGGCACTGCACAGGTTGCCCATAGAGGTGTGGATGTCCCATCCATGGAGACTTCCAAGGTCAGGCTGGAGGGGCTCTGAGCACCCTGCTCGAGCTGTGGGTGTCCTGTTCATTGCAGGGGAGTTGGAGCAGATGGCCTTTAAGGGTCCATTCCATCTCAAACCATCCTATGATTTTTATGATGGAGAGGAGAGCATGGGCACCTCGCTGACAGCTGTGACATCTCCCAGATGCCCCCCACGAGCCCAAACCTCCTCTCACTCCCCTCAGAGGTGGCTGACGACTGGGGACACTCCCAAAGGAGTCCCAAACCTTAATGCTAACTGTCTAACACCGCATCACCGCGGGAAACGCGGGCCCACGCGGGCTGGAGCAGCGATGAGGCGAGGTGGGATCTGCTATGCGAGCTCTCCGCTTCAGAGCTCTGCGCGGCCGCAAGACAGGAGGGAGGTGGGGGGGAATGCTCGCTCTCGCGCGGCGCGGCCCCGCGGCGGGAGCGCGCGGCTCGCCTCCGCCGCCGCCGTGCTGCCAGGCGCGGCGCTGCCCGGCTCGGCACGGCACGGCACGGCCCCGCCGAGCCCCCCGCGCAGCACCACACCGCGGGCCCCGCCATGGACGGGGGCGCCTTCGGAGCGGGGAAAGCCGGCGGCGCCTTCGATCTGCAGGCCTTCCTCCGGCAGCCGCACACGCTGCTGCGGCTGCTCTCCTGGGTGAGGCCGCGGCACGGAGCGGGGGGGAGCGGGACGGGGGTGCGGGACGCAGCGGCGGGGCCCTCGGCTCCCCCCGCGCATGCATGTGCGTGTGTGTGTGTGCGGTTATATAATACGGATTATCGTGTTGCTTCAAATGCTGTGTGTTATACATGCTGTAATACGTATTGCTTGTCATCCGTGCGCGCACGCAGTGCTCTCCGCGTGTATTAGAGAGGCATGTCCGTGCACACGCACGTCTCCATAGGGATCCGTCTCCATCCCTACACGTATATCTGCATGCCCGCATCTGCGTCCAGATGTGCCGATCTCCGTGCATAGCTCCATCCGTGCACGTACAGCCCTGGGCACGCAGATGTGCAGGGACGTAGGGCCACGCATGGGGCCGTGCGGGGTGAGAGCGCTCTGCTGCAGCCCTGGGGAGGGATGGGGTGAGCCGGGGTGGGCTCTCCCTCCGTCTCCATCTGCTTTGGGGATCTGTGTGTCCTTCCTCCTGACTGGGGGGTTTCTGGGATGCGGGGTACCAGCAGGCTGGGGGTGATGCTTTGAGGTATACAGAGTGGCAGAGGTGAGCTGGGGGGGTGGTCTGTGCTCCCTCCTCTTCCCTTCCCCTCTCAGTCTGCTGCTCTTCATAACGCGTTCACCCCATCCTATGGCTGCCGGCCCCGCGCGTCTCCGTACGAAGGTCATTGGGATTAAGGCAGCGAGCTGCGGCAGGAGCCGGCGCGGGAGAGATTGAGGTCTGGGCCGGGAGCGGAGGAGGGAGGGCAGGCGGAGGAGAGAGGGCACGTGTGTGCTGGCATCTACGGGGCAAAATAAATGAAATAAAATGAAATAAGCACCGAAGGGGGAACGGGGAATTGATGCTGGGCTGCTGTCTGTCCCTCAGGGTGCTGCGATGTGGGGGTGGCTGCAGAGCCCTGGGGTGGCTGAGGATGTCATTAATGCCGGTGTCTGTCCATCTGTCCATCTGTCTGGATTCGCTGACATCAGGCTTGGGGCTGTGATGGGGCACGCAGCCCCATCCCTTTGCCTGCCCGAGTATGATGGACAGAGTGTGACCTACAAAGGCTCTCCCGCTTCTAATCTCTGTGGCAGAATTTCCTCTCTCTTTCTCTCTCTCTCTCTCACCCTTTCTGCCTTTCTTTTTTTTTTTTTTTTTGCCTCCATGACTTCATTCGAGCACTGCGGGGTTCTGGCTTTCCAAAGGTGAGGCAGAGAGAGAGCAGGATATCTGTATTTTTATTAGGCACCTGCTCTGCGCCAGAGTATCTCAGTGCTCCCCGAGCCCACAGCAAGGAGAATGTTTTGGGGACCAGCATCACCCCATAACGTTCCCCTATGGCTGCTGTTCTGACCTTGGCAGAGGACAGGATGGGGCTCACCAGCCCTGCATGGTGCTGAGGAGGTCACATCCCATTGTGAATCAGCCAGGACCTGGCCAGGTGGTCCTGAGTGGCACATCCTCCTTTTCTCTCCCGAGCCATGGATTCTTCCTCCTACTTTTCCTGGCCAGGGAGTCACAAGCTGCCTCCCATTTATTTAGTCCTGTATTTGGCCTTTGAGTCTTGAGACCAAGAAGGGTCCTGATGGGTGTTGAAGTTCCATCTCAGGCTATGACTAGCACCAGAACCGTTACAGAATCATAGAATCATTAAGGTTAGAAAAGACCTCTAAGATTACCTAGCCCAGACAGCAGCTCATCCTCACCTTGCCCACTAACCATGTCCCTCAGTGTCACATGGTTCTTGAACACCTCCAGGGCCCTTCCATAAACTGGTGTAGTTTCACTCAAAAAATACAAGTTCATGGTTGTTTTGCCCTTCTCACTCCTTGTGGGAGGGAGTTGAGATGCTCGAGGCTGGAGGCTCCTTGTAGCCACTTTCATGTGATGAGTTTTAATAAGGATCAGAACATCCCATGGTTGCTTCCCAAGGAAGTGACCTTGTGCTTGGGTCATGCCTTGTAGCAGACTTGGTTGCAACATCGAGGTGTGGATGAGTGTAGGGCATTGTACCAACACCTGGCCCTGCTGGCTTTTGCCAGCAGGGGAGGGCTATGGGGTAGGGCAGATGGGCTGGCAGAGGAGGAAGGGATGGGGCAGATTTGGAAAGGAGGATGCTAAGCTGTGGCAAAGGTTGGCAATTCTGGAGAGCCCATCCAGTGAGCTCAGGTTACTTGGATGCTCTGGAGGCTTTTTTAAGGCATTACTCCCCATATTGCCTCTTTGCTTGTGGCTGACTTTGTCCAAAATAGTACCTGCTAAGCAAAATTTTCCATTTGTGCTTTGCACAGAGCTGGCCAACAGAGCAGCTCTACACCAAGGGAAGGATGCAATCCTCAGGCTTTGAACATAGCACCAACTCCATAAATAAGTAAAGTGTGAACTGAAACGCTGTCCTAGCATTGGAGCAGGTGAGTCTGGGACCAGCTGCAGTCCCCACCTTATTCCTGCTCTTACTATGTGCACCTGGGATGGCTTTGGCTGCCATGGCCAGTGTGTGCTGGTGGGAACACATGGTGAGATGAAGACTTTGGGGATAGGGCTCCAGGCTGTGCCAACAGAAGGGTGGTGGATGTGTGCAGCCAATTTGGGGCTGCATATGGCATGTAGTGCTTTTCCCAGCACGACGCTGCCAGGAGGGATCTTGGAGCTGAAGCAAATGGCTATGGTTGCTCTGAAATAAAAGTGAATCCTTCCAAAGGGTCCTGAGGGCCAGACCCTGATGGAGAAAGGTGTGCTATGTGGTCCCAGCATGATGGAGGTGGTCAGCAGAAGGGTTAATGGTGAACAAAAGCTGCCTGGCAGGGAGATCCTTGCTCTGATCCCAGGGCAGGAATTAGGGATGTGGAGCTACTCCCCCCAGCATCACCTGCTCCAGCTCAGCTGAGAGGCGGGTGCCACATGGCTGCTGGCCAGGACTGCCTCCAGGAGCTGAGAAAAGCATGGGGAACTCACAGGGGTGGGCAGTGCTCTGGGATCAGGGCTTACCAGAATGCTGGGGGTTAAACAGAGGCCTTCTGCTTTCAGGCTGCTGCTCCCACATGCACCCAAAGCCGCATGTGTTTTTCTTCAAAATGAGCTAAATACAAGCAGATTTAACGACAGGGATGATAATAATAATCCACGTCTGTGCAGGGCTCTCTGATGCTTTCCAGAAGCTGTGTTTGTGGGTGAATGAGTGCAGATGAAAACCCCATCATCTCCGCTGTTTGCTCTCTTCCTCATCCTCGTGTTTTTAAATAGATTTATTCTTGCTCATTGCCAGATCAGCATGGGAGAGGTCATCGCTTTGTTCTGCCTGAGGTGGATTGGATTTGAAGTCCCATGGGTGATGTTATGTCACTGAACTGTTTCCTCTTCCTAATGGAATAAAGCAGGGGAGGAAGCAGCAGGGTTCATGGCTGGACGGCACCACATCAACCCAACAGCCTTGTCCCTACTGGGGCTGTCATAGGTCTTTTGGGGAAGAAACTGTGGCAAATTCCTGGGAGGAGGTGCCGGAAAATCCCCGCAAGGTGTCGGGGCACATCACATGATGCCTGGGGATGGGGATGGGCGCATTGCACAGACCTCACATGATGCTCAGCAGGTTCTGCCTAGCCAGAGCAGATCCGGCAGGATTATAACAAGGCTTTGTATGGCGGGATACAGTTCATTTTTTTGGTTCCTCTGTCTGTGTCAGCTCTACAAGGTGCCTGGCTCTGGGCTTCCCTGGATGCCACCAGGCACTTGCAGTGGAAAATGAGGGTGCTGCAGTCCAACAGATAATGAAGAATGGGCAGTGCACAGGGGAAGGAAGGTGGCTGGCATTTCTTTGTAAGTGATGCAGATGTGCTGATGACAGAAACATAAACGCTTTATTCTTGCAGGCTTGTGGTGCTTTGTTTATAATCCAGGCAGGCATTCACACTGCACCTGCTGCCTGGATTATCTTGGCACACACGCAGCTTGTGCAGCCTAGGAAATATTGAGTGTTTAATTGGTCTGAAATGCCTTGCAAAGACAGTGAGCCTCCACCCACCAGCTGTGCCAAAGACACAGCTGGGGTTAAGTGTGCAGCAGTAAAACTTCTGGGCTCAGTCCCCAGGGGAGTGGCACCAGGGTAAGGAGACCTCTTGCCAAGCTTCTCTTCCCAACCTGTGGAATGGCCTTAAGGTAATGGCCTCAAATTGTGCCAGGAGAAGTTCAGGTTGGATATTAGGAAAAGCTTCTTCTCAGAAAGAGTGGTGCTGCAGTGGCACAGGCTGCCCAGGGAGGTGGGGGAGTCACCGTCCATGGTGGTGTTCCAGAACCATGTGCATGTGGTACTGAGGGATGTGGGCATGGTGGGGATGGGCTGGCGGTTGGACCAGGTCATCCTAGAGGTCTTTTCCAACCAGTCCCTTCAGTCTCATGCACGCAACTGATTCATCAGGAAGTGTTGACATGGATAGCTGTGAAGGAGCAAGTGCAAAAAGGAATAATTTTGCTGCTTTTGCTCAGGGAGAGCCCTTCCAAGTCAGCAGCCAACCTGAAGATGAGAGAGGAAATATGTGTGTCAAGGCAGGATCAGAGTAAACAGAAGTGTCTCTGAGGAGTAAGAGGTTCACTCAACCAAAAATGAACAAGCAGAGACTCAATGCAGCTTGTTGCAAAGGTTGGCCTGACTCGGAGAATTGACATTTCACCATTTTTGAGCCCTAAGCTGAAAGTGAACACCAGACTGTGTCTCTTTGGAGGTTGTTCTCATCTTCCAAAGAGAAGGTATGCTTTTTGCCTAGTGCTGCAGAAAACCAGGCACCCACTTTGTAGCCCCAGTACCAGGAGGCTTACGCCTCAGTTGGTCATGGAATCATAGAATCATTAAAGCTGGAAAAACCACCAAGATCATCTAATCCTACCATAGTCATGTGAGCCCTGGGAGCACCTGGACTTCACCTCCAGGAGATGGCCCTGCTGTAAGTCAGAGGAACACAGCAATTACTGCAAATGATGCCAGGCAGATCAGCCAACCCTGCTGGCAGTTAAGGTGTGTGAAATTTCCCAGTGAAAGACCATGCGTGTAATTGTCTGTAATTTTGCTGCCTTTCTCAACCATTCAGACAAAAAATTTGAAGACAAAACTTTGCTTCAGGAAGAAATAATTTTTATTGGGTTTTGTTTTTCGTGGTGATTTGAGTAAAGGATGAACAGTTTTCATTTTCAAATAGAAGAAGGAAGAGGGCAAATTAGTCATTTTATTTTCTAGAATAAAAATTTCAAAGAAAGCATGTGGTCCCAGTGGTTAGGAGCAGGATCCCCATCTGTGTTGTATTGCTGTCAAAAACACGCCCAGGGTCAGCAATCCAGATGGGACTGAATGATGAGTCTGGGTGAGGAAAAAACAACACTGGAATCAGTAGATACTTGTTCAAGCTTGGCAGCTGCATTGTGGCCAGTTGTGAGCTGTCAAGGCTAGTGAATAGGGTTCCCCTGGTTCTTGGAATCATAGAATCATGGAATTACTGAGGTTGGAAAAGGCCTCTAAGATCACCCAGTCCAACCACCAGCCCGTCCCCACCATGCCCACTGACCATGTCCTCAGTGCCACATCCACACGGTTCTGGAACACCTCCAGGGACGGTGACTGCACCACCTCCCTGGGCAGCCTGTGCCACTGCAGCACCACTCTTTCAGAGAAGAAATCCCTCCTAATGTCCAATCTGAACTTCCTCTGGCACAACGTGAGGCCGTTCCCTCTAGCCCTATTGCTGTTCATTGGGAGTAAAGGCCAACCCCACCTCTCTGCAACCTCTTTCAGGTCATTGTAGAGAGTGATGAGGTCTCCCCTGAGCTTCCTCCAGACTGAACAACCCCAGTTCCCTCAGCTCTTCCCATCAGACTCGTGCTCCAGACCCCTTACAGCACCACCCCTGGACACACTCCATGGCCTCCATGTCTTTCTGGTAGTGAGGGGCCCAAAACTGAACACAGCATTTGAGGTGAAGCCTCAACAGTGCCGAGTACAGAGATGCCACTGGCCAAACAGCGGAGATCTGTTGGGCTGGGAACATCCACCCCACCAGTGGGAAATCATTGAGTCATAGAACGGTTTGGGTTGGAAGGAATCTTAAAGTTAGATCCACCCCCTGCCCTGAGCAGAGCCGCCCCCTACCAGATCAGGCTTTCCAGAGCCCCATCCAACCTAGGCTTGAGCACCTCTAGAAATGGGATATCCACAGCTTCTCTAGGCAGCCTGAGACTGTGTATGGGCTTAGTGTTTATCAACACCTAATTTTCCCTGCACTCATCAAGCTGCTGCTTCTTTGCATTTTGGGTTGTCTTGAGACCTAAAGATCTCAAGACACCCTGCAAAGAGAAATTTGTGCATGCTGCCTTCATCTCTCTCCTTCCTTCCTTTTCCTTCCTTCCTTTCTTTTCCTTCCATCTTCCTCCTGCTGTGTGAGATGGCTGGCCATGCAGCAGGAGGCAAAGGCTAATTCGATAAGCAAAGATGAAACTGGCAGGTGTGGATTATGGCATCTCTACCTGACCTCATCCTTAATTCTACCTGCTTTAACATAATGCGCTGCTGCAGTGTTGTTGATGGGTAGAGAAGACTCCTGGTGCTTCTGCAAAATCTGTGGGGAAGGTTAGAATGTGTCATGGGCTGGGCTGAAGCAGGGCAATGGGGAGAGGGGGCTTATGTGCAAGGAGATGGGGAGAGCAGGAAGAGCTGGGGCTGTGGGAAGGTGAAGAAGGAAAGGAGCACAGTAGCCAGATGGATAAAATTGGAGCGTAAATGCATAGTGAGACAAGGAATTCCTAGAAGGGAAAGGAGTGGGTGGGAAAATAAGTGCAGACTAAGCGGATTTCTGCTGCTGGGAGCCCTTGCACGCAGGCACCCGCACCAAAGCTGTATCTGCATTTACACTCTGCATCGCCTCGCTGCGTGTCTGCGGGAAGCCGCCCTTCCTCCAGGCTGAGGCTGCTTCACATCAGTTTGGATCAGATGGATGAACAGACTCCATCTAGATGTGCCCTATTTTAAGCTAGTCTTCTGAAATCAAATAAAACCACCCCTGCTAAACTGCCACAGTCGAGGAGAGGCAGCGGGATGGGGGGTTGCCCAAGCTTCACGTCCCTCTGCCTGTCCCCCAGGTGTTTTCCATCGTGGTGTTTGGCTCCATTGTCAATGAGGGGTATGTGAACCGCCTGGACGAATCAGAGGAGCACTGCATTTTCAACCGCAACCGCAACGCCTGCAACTATGGCATTACCGTGGGTGTCCTCGCCTTCCTCAGCTGCCTTCTCTACCTGGCTCTGGATGCCTACTTCCCACAGATCAGCAGTGTCAAGGACCGCAAGAAGGCAGTGCTCTCAGACATTGGCGTCTCAGGTGAGCTTCCCAAATGGCTTTCTCTGCCCTTTCCCTGCTGTCTTGCTGCTGATGGTGGGCTGCTGCCAGATCTCTGGTGTTCCCATCCTGATAGCTGTGCAGGATCTTCTCCAGCCCTGAGGCTTAGCTCAATTTAGCTGGATCCCTACATCCGCAGTGGTGTGATGGGACCACAAATGGAGCAAGAGCACAGCATCTGAAGGACTTCTGTCTTCCAAGTTGGTTCATGTTTAGACTAGCAGTCCCACACACAGCCAGTAGAGCAGAAAGGGGGAGGGACCCAGCGCTGCTTGATGTTATACCTCAGTGAACCTGCAAGCTCACTTGGGCTTAGAAAGCCCTCATGACCAACACATGGCCCAGTTTGCAGCATGATGATGAGTTGCTTGGGGTTGTAGTTTGCAGATCAATATGATGTTTTTATGTTGTGCTCACATGCACCTTCTTGATCTGTCCCCTGCAGCCTTTTGGGCATTCCTCTGGTTTGTTGGCTTCTGCTTTCTGACTAACCAGTGGCAAGCTTCAAAAGAAGAAGACAACCCAATGAATGAGGGAGGAGACGCAGCCCGAGCAGCCATCACATTCTCATTCTTCTCCATCTTCACCTGGGTGAGTAAAGCAACCACAATGTCAGGTTGAGGCTCTTCTACAATTGTATTGGCTTGTGGGGAATGGGAGGGGACAAGATAAGTGATTCCTTCTGGAAATAACATGGCCTTGGAGAAGGAAATGGAAGAGCAGAGGCAGTTAGGAGGGAAGCCTAGTGTGGTGGTTTCAGGCTGCACAGCTCCTTTACACCACCTTCTCCTCCTCTAAAGAATGGGGGAAGAAAATACATTGGAAAAAGTTGCTTGGCTGAGATAAAGACAAGGAGATCACTCATCAGTTATAGTTATAGTCATTGGCCAAACAGGCTCAGCATATGGAGATTAATAGCATTTGTTGTCTACTAATAACAGATTATAGCAGTGGGAACTAAAAGTGAAACTAAAAATACCTTCCTTCCCATCCACTGCACCTACCTCCTCCTCCTCAAGCAGCACAGAGGGGTGGGGATGGGAGCTGTGGTCAGTCTATACCACTGTCATCTCCGTGGTCTCTCCCTGCCCCTGCTCCATGTGGGCCTTCCCATGAAATACCGTCCTTTCTGGACTGACCCCACCTGGGCTTCCCACAGGCTGCAGCTCTTCAAGCATTGCTCCAACATGGCTCTGTAGTATGAGGCCCATCCTTCAGGAGTTGCTCCAGCATGGGTCCCCACGGGCAGCAGCTCCACTGCATTTTACTGTCCATGAAAGGATTTTGAACAGCACTTGTAGGTCACTGAAGCTAAGCAGAGAGGGAGCTGCAGGCTGGGGGCTCACGTGAAATGTCCTCAGTGGCCACAAGAGGTTGCAGTTGCATCCCTCCCATCTCTTGGGATGCAGTCTGCACCTGTGATTGCAGTAATTGGGCACTGCACCGAGGTGGGTGGCAGTAGAGACAAGGGACAGCAGTGTGATCCCCACCTTGAGAGCCAAAGACAAGCAGCAGCATTCCCCAAGCTCCAGCAGAAGGCATGTTGGGAACCAAGGCTTGTGCAAGGACCCTTTTGGAGAGGGATGTTTGCAGCACTTGCAGGGTCCTCCTGGACACATGGGCTGCGGGTGCCTGAAGGCATCCTCTTCCCTGGATCTTCGTGTTTGTTTTTCAGTTTCATTCAAATGCTCTGTTCTGATCTTTCTGATTGATCCTCCTCCCACTCCTCTCTCTCCTCACAGGGCTTCCTTGCCTTTCTGGCTGTCCGACGGCTCAGAGACATTACTTTTCAGGAAGAATACAACACACTATTCCCCAACTCCCCGTCCTTGCTGCCTTAATGTCCCTCAGTGACGAGGAGCCTGGGGACAAGGGCTGCAGACAGAGGAAGCTGTTGAGCACTTGGCTCCATCTGTGTTCCTCCTTGGCCCCTTCTCTCCCTCAGCCTAACTAATGCTGCGTAACACTCGTGCCTTTCTTTTGATGACTGTTCATGTCTCAGCCAGAAGATGCCTTCTGCCCCCCATTGCTGTGTCTTCTCTATTCCTGCCAGCCCTCATTCCCTCCAAGGGCAGCTCATAGCCTGCCAGACCGCTCACCTCTGCAGAGGATGCTCTGAGAAGACTGCTCGAGTCCAAGTGCCCACGTGCCCCTGCTAACAGCTCCGTCCCATATCCCTCCTCTTCTCCCTGCCAAGGGATCGGTGCTTTCTGTGGGATTGTCTCCCAAATAGGCTTCACACTAACCCGTAACCATGACTAACCTCCCTTTTGTTTATTTCTCTCTCTCGGCACATTCCCCTTTCTCTCTTTCCCGTCCCCCCTCTGCCTCCCATCTCTCTCCATCCTCCTGAAGGTGGGCCAGGCGTTCCTGGCGTATCAGCGCTTCCGGCTGGGTGCCGACTCGGCCCTCTTCTCCCAGGACTACATGGACCCCAGCCAGGACTCCGGCATGCCTTACGCTCCCTACACGAATGAGGAGGATGCGACGGACGCGGTGGGGACGTACCAGCAGCCCCCTGCAGCAGATGCTTTTGACACCGAGACACAGGGGTACCAAACGCAGAACTACTGAGCTGCCGATGCCCTTTCCCCTTCCCCTTCCCCTTCTGCCCTCTTTCCCACTGCCGGCAGCAAGCCGAGGCACAAGCCAGACACGTGCGTAGTGGCACAGGAGGTGGCTCTCAGCTATGCTCCAGCCTTCTGGGTCATCTGTTTTTATTTATTGTTTTTAACAAAAAGAAAAAAACGCTCCCCATTGCCTCTTTCCCCTCCTCCCCCCAGACCTACCCGGCACCAAATTGTTCCAAAATCTGGCACCAAGGGAGGTTCTCCCCTTCCCCCCTCTCTCTCTTCCTTGGAAGAGAGAAGGAAAGAGGGGCTACAGCAGAGGTGGAAGAGAAGAGGTGAGAAAGAGTGGGATGTTCATAGGCGAGGTGGTGCTGCTACCTGCTGCAGTGCTGCTCCATGCTGCAGGAGCATCTGAATTGGCTCAGGGAGGGGAGGGTGGAAGGGGCAGGCTGAGCTGGCATGCAGACGTGTGAGGGTGGAGGGAGGGATGAGGAGAGAGGGTGCTCTTCACTGTGAGTCAGGGGATGCTTTGTTTTGACAAGTTTTGATGAGACAGAATGGGATAGGAAAGAGGAATATTTGCAGGTACAATCAAAATCCAGTGTTTTTCACAGGTTTTGCTGTAGATGAAAGCAAGAGGGCTTTAGAGAGCAGAACAGGGAGGCAGCACCATGAGGGCCACTCCTCCTCCATGCAGAGGTGTTTTCACTGCTTGGGTACTGCCACAACCCCCTCCCTTCCTCTGGCCAAATCGTGCACATGGGAATAGAGCAGGAACCCCAAAAAGAGATGCAGCTGTTGTGTCCAGACATCACATTGGAGTGCAGTGAGTGGTGGAGAGTCCAAAGGTGGTCTTCACCTCCCACTCAGATGGGAAGGTCAGAAAAGATGGGAGAATTCCCTCCATTTCCACCCTCCAATTGTTTGGGGCCACAGTGGGCTCTCTGAACACTAGTCCTGCTGTACTTACAGTTATCTTAGTGCTCCTGCAGCATCTGGCATGTCTTTAAAGCCTCACCTAGGTGGCAGTAGTGAATCTCAGATAGAGCTCGTATTGACGTTACTCCACACTTCTCACGATTTTGCTTCAAGAAACTGCTCTGGAAGCACAGTATTTATTCCAGGATAGAATTAATGTCAGTGCCTAGAAGTAAGGGATTGAGCAGTAGCCAGCTGGACCGTTTCAGCACAGACATCTTTCAGAGCACAAGCAGTGGGGTATGTCTTGAGGAGCTCTGTCCCCTGGGCAGCCACGATGGTCCATGTGGCACTGGCCCAAGAAGCAGAGATCAAGAACAGATCCAGCAACCACCAGTACTTCCCCCAAGCATTCAGCCTCTTCCCTGTAGCATCTTTAGGAGCCAGGAGGACAGGATGCAGGTCTGGCCATGCAAACACCTCATCTGGAGGACGCAGTCCTCTTTCATCCAGGTCACCAGTCCTCCTCTTCCTAGCACTGCTCCTTTCCAGCTGCCCCACATCAGTGGAGAAGGAGTAGACAACACAGAGTTGCGGGTTCCAAGGGGGAGGGAAGGAAAGCTCTCCATTGCATGCAGGCAGAGTTTCTGCCTGCTCCACACCTTTCTCTGTGGCTCTGAGCAAAAGCAATACTGTACATAGGAGGGATATTTTTCAGAGGGAAGCCCCTCAGGCTTTTTTTTCGACGGGATCAGCCTAATATTTAGGCTTGGGAGGGGGTTACTTTATTGAGAGATTCAGTGTGGGGGAAGCTCCTTCCAATCCACCTCTCCTACCAGGGGAGAGAAAGGAAAGAACGGTGAGGTGGAGGAGACAAACTAGTTGTACTTACCCAGAGTCATCTGTGTCATCCTTCATGCTTTCATTTTGGGTACCAAGAGGAGGAGGCTATAAATAACAAGCTCTCAGCATGAGGATTTGCTGGGCTGCTGGGAATTGCCCATCACCTGTCCCATCTCATTGAGGTGAGGGACCAGGCACATGAGAAGTACAGGCCATAAATGTGTGTGGGGGGGTCTACCTGTGGTCTCTTTGATGGTGTAGCACGGAACAGTTGTCAGTGCCCCTTCCCCCAGCGGAGCTACATCAATGGCTAAACATCACGTGGGGGTGATTCATGACAAACCTTTTCTTTATCCTTTTTGCTTGCTTCCCTCATGTAACCATCTGGTGGGCTTCAGTGGCTTTGAGGTGGGACAAGCCTCCTCCTCAGCCAACCCTTCAGTGGGATGTGAGCCAGGTAGCTTAACCCTGGGCTATTGCCCATCTTTGTCTCTTTCTTCCTTGCTTTGTGTTATGGCAAAGGCATTGGTATGGCAGGGGACACTGTAACAGTAGATGCTTGGGCAACTTCTTGACTTTGCTCATGGGAGAAGGTGTACTCTTCTTGGCTTGACTTCCTTTGAGCCTTTGCAAGAGAGGGTTGGTGGTGGCAAACCTGAGGGTGGTACTCATCTGGTTAGCACACAGCCCTTGAAAATGCAGTTTCAGTGGCATATGGCTGGCTCTGAGGAGATGGATCTATCTAAAGGGTTGGTTATCATATCTTGGGAGCTTCTGATAAGGGGCTGCTGGTGATCATATGAAGACCTGGGCACCTGGCTGGAACATGTCCCTTTTAGATCCTAAATGAGTGTGAGATCAGTCCCACTCTAGGGATTAGGAGATCAGAGGGAAGGCTGCATAAGCAAAACGATAAGGCGGCTTTCTTCCCTGCCGTGCCATTTGTCCACATTACAGAGGATTACGCATCCCCTGTTGGGAGCAATGGCCCCTTGATGTCTTATCTTGCCAAGTCCCCAAGTAAGGTACTTTTATAATAGCAGGGACTGTGAATGTCAAAGGGGTAATGAATCCTTGCCCCACCTCTACCTGTGGCTTCAGCATCCTGACATGCTCCCCATCCCTGGCTCACCTACGTCCCCACCACCTTGTTCATCACCTCATTACACACCCATTCCCTCTGCATTAGTCCTGGCAGTCCCTTCAGGGTAGGAGGGCAGTGTGTCTCCACACATTCAGGAGCGCTCAGGAGGACCCAGGAAGGCAGTGTAGTGGGACAGTCTCCATTGGAGAATTGGCTCTGATCTCCAGAGCAGGTACAAGGCAGGGAACCCAGCGAGGCCACCTCATGCAGCAAGTCCAAACCATCCATCCAGGCACCTCCCTGCTGCCCCTGTGGCATCCATCACACCATCTGGGCTGCCCTGCCCCTTCCTCTGCCACATTACTGCCTGTGTATAGTATATATTATATATATATATATTTTAAAAGATGTATAATATAAAGCTATACATATATACGTATATACGATGACTCATGGATGGCCTGCCGCATACAGGATCCCCTGAGTGGTCTTGTCTAAGCCTGAGTGTACCTTCACCCCTCCTCCCCTCGTCCCCATCTGTCCTCAAATCCAACTACAGCAAACCCCGCCACCTCGGCACGTGTTTACAATATCCTATATATTTGTGGTTAACAAAGTGAAGGTGGTAACTACTGGTGTCTCAATAAAGTTACAACATTCAAAATAATGAAATAATATGAAAAATTGGTCTTGATTTGCTTTGCAATTAGATGGCTTTTCTAGCTCCAGAGGGTCTTGGGAGGTCTTCCTGCAGCTGGGACACAAGCTGGGGCACCTCAAGGAACAGGACCGCCCATGCCAACACTTCTTTCACTTGAACCCAGGATACCACGGTCCTCCAGGTTTAGTGAAAATCGGCAGTATCAGTGGAGAGAGACCTAAATAGCTGCCCTTATTGAGAGAGACACTTCAGGAGGTGCTAAGAGTGGCTTGTTCTGCTTGGCTTGTTTGAAATCACACCTACCATCGAGTGTCTCTTACCTTATCAGGAGGAAAACATGAGAAGGAGCTTGAAGTACCATATTAGGGGTTATTGTGAAACAGCTATAGTCATAGAAGGTATGGATGGGGGACATGAAAGAATATGGAGTATTCACTATTTTCACACCCAGGGAAGAAGATCTGTTTATTACTTTGATGTATCTTCTATTTATCTCTGTGTGATCATTGCTTGGGTGTCTAGCATAGCACGCATTTTCAAAACATAATCAAGTACTGGGAAACAAGAGCTCTCAAGACACTGCTGACTGGGTTTCAGTAATAGCTCAACACTGAAAAGGATATCATTGCAATTTCCTCTGTGACCAAAATAAAATTCAAAATACTATGTTACACCAGTGCTTAGATAGAGCCTCCTTCTCATCCCCTTTTAATGCATCTATCACCTAAATACCCAGGTATCTAATGTGCCTACCCTTGCGTAGCCTGAGGACAGTAAGCACAGGCACGTGATGATCTACTGGCAGCATCCAGTCCTCCAGACTGTCTCCCCTCTTGGCTACACAACTGAGACATACTGTAGCTGCACCTAAGTGTATACCTAAGTGTACTGATATAGCCACCCAACCCTTCTTTCTTTGGACAAGGACCCTTTCCCACCATGCTACTTTTGGGGGTGGAAGTGTTCTAGAGATGCCAGGCCCCAGAAAGGCAAATGTCTTGACAACAAGAAGAGTTAAACACTGATGAGACCAAATGTTGCCAAAAGCAAGCCTAAAGCTCTGCACAGAATCTCTTTTGCAGTGACAGCTCTCTCTCTCTCTATTGGGGGAGTCTCTGAGTGCCTCCAACAGCACCATGATGGGGCTGCACCGTGCTCCCTGCTCTCCACAGCACATTGGTCAATAATGTTTGTTCATCTTTTATCTGCTAGCCCAGCAGAGTGACCGGTGGAATGCTTCTTCCTTTTTCTGCAGAGAAAACATCTGTAAAAACAGGAAGGCAGTAGTACGGCTTGGCACTAGAAATACTGTGCATATAATCCCTGTCACTGGGAACAGTGAAGCATGAGAAACAATAAGTACAAAGAGACAGAGAGAGAGGGATGGATGAGAAATACGGGAGTTTAATGAGGGATAGGGAGCTTGAAATCTGGTACTCACTGAATCATGCAATTCGTTCATTGGTGCATGGATGAGGTTCAGTGACCGATATTCTGTATGCTTGGGCAGATTTTTGCTGCATGAAAATATAGCACAGTACTTTCTGAGAAGATTTACTGAAGGTATAAAGCATAAATAAAACAAAACAAAACAAAACAAAACAAAAAAACAAGCTCCATCAATACAGCAGCAGAAACTGTTGCAGTATTCCATTTTGTGAGTGCTGCATAAAGCTGTTGATCTCTGCAAGCAGGTATTCATGAGGCAGCATGCGAGCTTCAGCAGCACTTTCCTTTGGAAGATTGCAAAAGATTGGACAGATATGCATTTAGCATTGCAAGCAGCCTAGTTTGGCAAATCCTACTGTTCTCATTTTGCAGACTAAGTAGTTAAGGGCCTTGTTCAAGGTTAGGGTAGAAGCTCAGTGACAGTGCCATAGGAACATCCTGAAGCTGACACAAATATTTTCACCAAGACAAAATGTTTTGTATCAGCTCTGTTTCAGCCCAAACACGGAGGAGAAAATAAAACAGGATGACAATGGTCAGTGACCATGAGCTGCAGCCAGACATTTAAATTAGGAACAGGACAAACATGCAGACTCCACTCTTGTTAGTCTCAGAAGGACACACTTAACAATATAAGAGCACAGCGATGACTCTTAACTCCCCAGTCCTGCAATGTGATACACAGGCGGTCACTGAGCACGTTGGAAGCCTTGCTGATACCAGTAGTGCTCTGTGCAAGGACAGGGGCTGCCTGAGCTCACCAAAGTGCATGATTGCAACCTTGAATGTCATTAAATAAGCATAAGCTTTTGCTGCAATGCTGAAAAAGTGACATTGTGTTTTAAAGCAGAGGAACTTGCCTGTTGTGTTTGAGCAGTGCAGACAATGCTGTTCTACACGGATTTCTGCAGCATAAGGAATTCTTCTTGATACTGTAAAAAAACAGATCTTTATTAGTACAAAATCCATCCACTCCACTTTTAATTTTAATGCAGACTTGAACCCTCTTCCTGGAATTATTTCTACTGACTCACAGTTTTACCCACAGGAATATTTTAAATGTCATTGGTGAAACCAGGCTTAGACATAAAGCTAAACATGTAGAAACTTATGTGTAGACTGAAGTTGTAAATCTAGCATTTCATTCCTTATTTCAACAGTGTAATCTTTAAAAATAATTTTTTTAAAAAAGCCTGCATACCTAAGGCTGCCAGAATGGCTGAGTTTCTGTCAGTTTTGTGTGAAATCTTTGTGCATTCAGAAGAAAGAGATGCAACAAAACAATAAACAAAGGATTTAGAGGAAAAGGAGCTGGAATCCTCGGACAGGATCCCCTGCAGCAAAACCCATCATTCCATAGAATGAGGTTAATTAATGAGCAATTATTTCTGAAGTACATCTGAATCTAATATGTTTGCCACAAATATGTCATTAAAAGAGTATCAAGTGTCTGCTGGAAGTCAAGACTACTCAGTACCCATGTTCTCATCACGACTGCCTTGCTACACACATTTCTCACACTGGAGCCCCTTCCTTCAGCCTGGGTTCACTGCAAAAACTGTGCTCTTCCCCCAGTGCTGCAGTCTGTCTGCCTGTCATCACACAGTGCAAGACATGCCACTCACACACCTGCAGGGTTCTTCTGCTGACTCACAGTGTAAGAGAATGCTGGGAATGACTCTCGAGCACTGGCACAGGCTGTCCTGAGAGGTTACGGAGTCTACTTTGAGGTCTTCAAAAGCCACCTGGATGTGGGCCTGGGCACCCTGCTCTGGATGTCACTTATAAGCCAGATGAACCCAGAGCTCCCTTCCAACCCAAACCATTCCACAGTTCTTTGACAAAGTTCAAATGATGGCTGGCTTGAGGGCACATTCACAGTGTCCTGGCCTTTGCTGTAGTCCACAGGAGGGTTGGAAAGGCCTTGGGCTACTTCAGTGGGAGATGAACAGACTGCCCAGTCCCTGGAGGTGTTTCAGAACCGTGTGGATGTGGCACTGAGGGACGTGGTCAGTGGGCATGGTGGGGATGGGCTAGCAGTTGGGCTAGTGATCTTAGAGGTCTTTTCCAACCTTAATGATTCTGTGATTCTATTCTATGATTCTACAGACTCCAGGCTGATACACATGGAGGAGGCTTGTGATGTCCACGCACTGGCAGCACAGCTGAGAGCTGGCCACTTGGGCTGACTTATGGAATCGTAATATAGAATCATGGTGCTAAGAACCAACACAAGGCCACTGGTCTCAGCTCACAGGATATCACAGGATCCCTCAAGTCTCTGCCCCACTTCCCTCCCTATGGTGGCCCAAGGTTGCTCCTTTCTCTCAGAAGCCTCAAGTCAAGTCACAGAAACACCTCAATTCCCTCTAAAACAGATGTGGGGAGAAGGAAATTTAAAAATATTTTGCTTTGGTGGACCCAAAGAACCACGCAGTTCCCTCCAGGGCCAAAACACTGCAAACTACAGCAGGGCAAACCCCGTGCCTTGAAGGGCACCAGCCACGCACCGCATCACCCCAACGACGCGCAGGGGCGAGGCCAACGCAGCCACCCGGGCGCGCTCCCGCGCCCGCCGCCTCCCCATTGGGCGGTGTGACGGAAGGGGGCGTGGCCAACCCCGTGTGTGGGCGGGGCAACCGCCGGAAGCGGCATTTGGCTGCGAGCGCTGCTCTCTGCGTGAGGGGAGAGGGGGAGGGGTTGTGTGGAGCGGCCGCTCTGCCCGGCAGATTTGTCTGCTCTGGAGGGAGGAGGCCGCTGCTGCTGCAAGATGGCGGCGCAGAGGAGGAGTCTGCTGCAGAGTGTGAGTGGCGCCGTCCCCCCTCTCCCCGCTCGCGCATCCCTTTCGGTGTGTGCGAGGAGCGACCCGCACCTCCTCCTCACCCTCCTGCCCGGGAAGGGGGAAGTGCCCGCCGTGAGGGGAGTTGGGTGTCCTCCGCTCCGTGCTGCCCCGGCCGGCCCGCAGCCCTGTGGGGGCTTTGGGGCCCTGCCTGAGGGGTGAGGGTCAGCCGCTGTGGGCGGGCCCGTGTGGGCACGGGGATCCTCCGTCGGTGTTGGCAGCCCCGAGGCCCCGTTTTCTGAGCGGGTGTCCTCCAGGTGTGAGGGTCCCATCCATCGAACTCGCCATTGGTGCTGTGTCGTGTGTCAGGCTCGGGTGCGAGTGTCAGTTCTGGTTTCTTGTTAGAAAGAGCCGGAGGTGCAGCCAGAGCTCAGCTTCAGAGGGAAAGCAAGGTGTAAGTGATGCAGCTCTGCAGCAGGGAATGTGAAGTTCTCTGGTAGGTGCGCTGCCCTGGTAGGAGAGAGGGTGGGAATGAACCTGTAGCTCATCCTGAAGCAGCATTCTCACCTCAGGGTTTATGTGGCCTCTTTGTGTCTCTCAGGAACAGCAGCCCAGCTGGACAGATGACCTGCCGTCCTGCCATCTCTCTGGGGTGGGCTCAGCTCCAAACCGTTCCTACAGTGCGGACGGCAAGGGTACAGAGGGTCACCCCTTGGAAGATAACTGGTTGAAATTCAGGTAGGTTGATTGTGCCTGGGTCAGTCTCCTTTACCTGCCTCTGTCTGC